TACAACCTTACTGGAAGTTACAACTGGAGACTCCTATAATTCCCACCGCAGGTGATGTGATTATTTATATAGATAGCTGTGTATTGAGGGACAGAGGAAGTACATGGGAGAAGGGGGTCATAGCAAAAGCAAATGGACATCGCTGCTTAGAGCAACAAAGTCTGGTATATGAAATCACAGCATTTATTTTGAGAATGGAGGTGGATGCAGTCACTGCTGGCTTGAGAATCAGCTGTACAGACATGCCGTGATTGTAACTGACTCACAGAGCATGCTGAAAAAGGTGGAGACAGGCGTGCTGTGCAGAGTGGCAAGCATAACTTCAGAGGTCCTGGGTAGTTACCACTAATTTATAATTCAATATTTCTGTTGTGTTTTAATGAATGATAAGCTTCATCCATCTGGCTGACGATCTTAACTAGGGCTGATAGTACAATTCTTGTTAGGGCTTTTTTAAAGGTTAGGTCTTTTTTTCTGAGAAGCACAGTAGTAAAATACTGTGCATTAATTAGGAAGAACAATTACTTTCTACAAGATGTGAATAGGGAATAAAACTGGCTCATAAACAGGATATGTCTGGGGAACAGCAGGGTTATTAGAAAAAGATGGTGGGAGCAATAAGATATGACACACTGGGAAAACAGTAGAGAATATAGAGAAGCAACATTTAAGATTTATGACCTGTTTAAGTGGCCACTAATTACTTGCATCCTGCGGTTTTTAAGTCGCAAGTGGCACTCGGAGCCCGCAGCATTCTCTCCAGATAATGATTTTTGTTTTCAGTAACTTCCATTTTACTCGTCACCTCATTCCACAGGCGAGAGATCATCTCTGCTTGTGCAGTTGCAGTACACCGCCAAAAAGGTTACCCCAGCCAGCCTGCACTCATTTCCAAACATGCCTTCATGACCTGGGAAAAATATCCATGTGACTCACCAACTACAACCTCTGTACTGATGCAACCCATTCCAAACAAAGAAAATCTCACCCCACCTTCCTGAGCATGCTTAATAATAGACTGCAATGGTTGGGGTACATTGAGAGACTGGCAGATAACAAACAAACATTTTGCACACAAAAAAGAACTAAATGGAAATAGACTATAGGGCTGACCAAGAGAGTGGAGAGGGAATTTACAGGCAGAATCATGAAGCAGACCCACAAACACTTGGAGTCACCAACTGGAAAGAGAAGGCCAATGACAGATGATAGAGGGCTCTGAAAGATGAACAGGAAGAAGGAATTAACAAAAGACTTGCAATGGTATGCGTTAAGAGAGATATTCTGCAAAGGATTTGCTACATGATTAAAATGATTAACACATTTAAGGGCATTAAGTACAATTCTAAGAGTTGGTTTTTGACATCTAAATCACTAAAGTCAGTTGTTTTTTAAGTCAGTTTAATTTGTTTGTGAGTCAAAAACAAAACAAATTGTAATGACAAATCAGTAAACAATAACTTGTTGCATGGTATCTGGACCAAAAAAAGTCATATATTTAACATCCTCTGTTCTACAATTAATATTTTCAACTCACAACAGAAAAAGAAAAAAAAGCAAAGTATATTAGTGGAGATTTAGAGTAAATCAAATTCTATATAACGTAACTTTTAAGAATGAATAATAAGGGATTGCAGCCTGGTTTCATTCTGTCTATACTTTTCAAATCAGAGGCACATCTTCAGTCCAACTTTTTTTTTTTCTGGAAGGAAGAGCTTGAGAAGAGAGGGATGACCATCAGTATCTACAAAAATAAAACCATGGCTGCCTCAAGAGATGAGAATAAACACCAGATCATGACCTGCTCCAGTATGCATTGGAGCAGGTCAACCAGTTTAAATTCCTTGAAGTTGTAATTTACCCAAATAAAGGCATTAAGACAGAGCTAGCTACTCAAAAAGCAGCTGCTGTGAGACTTTTACAGGCCATAAACCGAGGGATTCTTAGCAAAAGAGAAATTGACAAGAGGATGAAGATGGCAGTTTTCACTATCTATGTTCTAGTCCTCACATATGGCAGTGTCTGGGCAATGACAACAGCTCATAGAAGCCAGCTTCAGGCCTCAGAAATAAGATATCTGAGAAAGGTGGTACAAGTGATAAGAAGGGACAAAGTTTGCAAAATATGACAAACCTGAATGGATCAATCACAGTTAACGATGGTCTGGATATGCATGCAGAATGGGCCACCGTGGCAAGCCAAAAACCTGACCACTAGGGTGACCAAAGGTTTTCTGGGAAAACAACACAGCAATGGAACAATGTAAACAAGAAAATTGCAGATAGAGAAGTCTGGCAATCTCTCTGGGAAACGCTTACACTCCAAGGTAGAAGAGCACTGACTAAAGTTAAGTGAGCTAAAGAGTTAATACAATGTAAACAACCACTGGGTGAGCCATGGATGCATGATTTTTCAAAGTGACCATTTTTGACTGAATGCTGTGAAAATCACCTGGTAGTGAGAGAATTAATTTGAGCTTGAGAAAATAACTTGAATCCCCATATTCTACACTGAAAGAAGAACATCAATCACAATCAGTGATGTCTACATCAATATTTCCCCATATTCTGACTTCTAAGCAATGTTTCCCCGTTGTGAATTTGAACAAAGAAGACACAAACAATAGACTGCACAATTTATTGCCTGGCATATTTCGCTGTGTCTCGTCAGGTGCATACTACAGAAACAATTTATTAAAATGAAGCAAATTGCTGAATCCTAGAAACTGAAACACAAATTCGACTACATTCTTGAAGTGCATGCATATGTGGGCAGAACTGATCGACGACTGGAGAAACGGGTTGCTGAACATATTCCACTATAAGTGATAAAACTAATGAAGAACACTAACACCTCAACAACAACAAATCAGGTGACTGGTCAACAAAATCCATCATATGCCATATCCTAAATTCCGGGCACATCGCTAACAAGGATGATGCATTTTGAATTATTTACAATTTGGCCAACCAGCCGTAGATTACTCTGATATGCAGAAGCGTCAGCAATCTGCCGGTTGAAACCAGAACTTTTTTGGCAGAAAGAAATGGTCGTTACCTTACAGTTACTTTGGTGAAACAGACAGTTCAAGAATATAGTCGAATTTGTGTTTCAGTTTCTAGAATTCAGCTATTTGCTTCATTTTAATAAATTGTTACTGTACAGTATGCACCTGACGAGATACAGCCTTCCCTTTGGCTTGAACCCTGAAACTCGAGGTGGATGTAATGCCTTAAGACTACTCAGTACCTGTCAGCATTACTTTCAAAATAGTAATTTAACAGTAGTAGTGACACTAGATAAGCCAGATTTCTTGAGTATGTTCTACCTGACCAAATACAAAAAGTAAGATTCAGCAGATAGAGTGATTCACACATCATGCGTTGTTTGAGACTCAAAGAGCTAAGGCCACTGACACTGCTTGATAAATAAATTGAGATCTATTGATTCGCACAATCATACAAGCTGATTCATTCATTATTCTACTTCAAATTAATTGAGTAAAAAAAAAAAAAGTAAGGTGAAGATCCCTTTTTATGCCTTAGGCATTAAAAAAAAATATGTTTACAGACCAATCAGCATTAAATGGGTAATGTGGTCAGTATTACGCTGGCCATAATTACTTCCCCAGGACATCTATCCTGGAACCCATTTTAGGCTGGGTCAACCTGCAACGCCCCAAATTATTATGATGAAAATCCACACAGCCAGCAGTGGGTTTCGATCGCGGTACGTTGGAACTACGAGTCCGACTCGCAATGCCTAGGCCATGAACGACGCCTCTTCACATTAACGGTCTCAGGAAATTCTCTAATTGTGAACATACACTTCTGTGAGTGATCACCATTTGTACATTTTTTTTAATCAAAGAAACAAAATACAAAACTGTAAACATAACCAACAACAAAAATTTAATAATAGGGTACAATCTTTCCTTTCTGTACCTGCAGAGATATCCACAGCCACAGAACTTTCCTGGCCAGGAATTTCTTCTTCTTCTGTGTTCATAGGTTGTAAATCCCAGCGGAAAGTTCTCGTTGTTCGGCCTTCTCCAGGCTTTAGTCTTGTTCCAGAAGCTGAGCGTTGCATGTACATCCATTTAACAAATCTGGCTTATTTGTACGCAGACTCTTGGTTCCTTTTTTGGGCAGATGCACTCCAACTTGGAAGAATGGCCCCAATAAGTTGACATCTTCGACATGCTGGTTGGGAAGCCTGTGAATCTATTCTTGTTTCCCCCACAATGAAGCTGCACAACCTCACAAATTTAATTTGAAAAATAACACACAACCTTTCTGCTTTGTAACTGCAGCAATTTTGAGAACATACATCACAAAACAATATAGTGCATTCGTATAACTGCTCCGACCCCCATCTTCACCAGCCAGAGCAGTTCCAATACTAATGGTACCTGTTGTAGTTTGATTACATGTTTGTCCTGTATTTTGATTCAGTACTATCTACCAGATCATCTGGTCACGCTCATAAATATTAATCACATGGTAACTCATGTCTTCTTCTTACTGCTGCTGTCCCTAAACTTCTGTATGGCCCAGTTAGTATCTACAAGGGGGCTTCAAAAGAAAACCTTTAAAGTGTGACAGAATGACAGTTTAAAGATGGCTTGTCTTACTTTTGACATGCATCTAAGAGAAGCAGCATTGCATTATCTATTGTTTAAACAGTAAAGGGGTTAAACTACCTACATTTATCTGGACATAAAGGCAGTATCGTTATGCATGGTTGTCAGTGTACTAGTGAGGTAGCAAGTTTCAATGGTGCCTGACTTATTTAAACTGTCAGTGTGATGACACTGTTTTCATCTGCACCGTGATGCCATGTACTTAAGACTCTTGACATTCTTAACAACAATACTGATATGTTGCAAGACAATGGCGTGGTTACTGTAATTTGTATCACACTTTTGAGGTTTTTATCTGAAGCTCAATCGTAGGTGTTTATTTCTTTGCTGTTTTAATAACCCGCTTCTGTTGACCAATTCATTCTTCTCCAGAGGTACTTTCCATTTCTCTTTGGTGTTTCCTGGTCAGATGAGACAGCATGCTGGTCATGTGACTGACGTAATGCCACATAGTCTGAGCTGAGGGTGTATACCACTGGAACACAGGCTGTGGGTAACCATAAGCAGATGGGTGGCTCCTCTGGTAGAATGCCAGATGTGGGTAACCATAAGCAGACAGCTGTGTGCTCTGATCCGGAGCTGGATACGGAAAAGATGGATGGACTGTCTGTGGGCCATAATGTGCCTGTGGCTGCATTGCCGGAATATGTGATGAAGCAGAGCATGCACAGTGCGGCACTGACTGATATGTATTACAGTACGGAGAAAACCAAGGCATGGTATTACGTGAGTATAAATGAGGGTTGTGTGCCACAAAGGAATTTGAATCACTTGAACTGTCCTCTGAATCACTCACTCTGAACTCATTCCTGAGATTTTCACTGTAGCTTAGTTTATGATCCTTGGCAAGAGTATCTGCTCTCTGATGCCCTTCTGAAGCTTTTCTTCTGGAAGAGTTAGATTTGTGCTGCCGTTCAAACTCATGATCTTGTTCCGCCAGTGAATGTTTCATTATTTTCATTTTATCACCTTTCGGGCCAGATTTTATGGGCAATGAATGTTCATTAATTGTGTCATGCATCGAGTAAGGAAGGTTGCCAGAAGTGAAGACAGCTGAATGGGGATCTTGCAAAGACATGGATGACATGCTGTGTTCCAAGTAGGCTTTGGAGGAGTAATTATTGCATTGCAAATGCTCTGTTTCCAGAACAGAAGTAGAATACTGCAATCCATTTTCCTGACGACAGAAAGCAGGATGTGACTGAACTTTTTTACTTTCTTCTCTCTTCTTTGATTTTCTTGGATTCATGTAACCTTCTTGTGCATACTTATTGGCATAGCATTGAGATGCCATAATGACGTCTTTGGTGTCCACATCGGAGGACACGACATCTGAAATGTCAGAAGCTGAGCTGAGACTGAGGTCGGAAGTTGAGGATGTGGATCCGTCTGAAACTTCAAGTCCTGCCAGTCTGGCTTCAGTTTTTGATGGCTTGGTCGGTTTTCTGTCACTGGCTGGTGAATTCAATACAGGTTTGAATTTGACCAGCTTCTCTCTTTCGGTTGATTTTTGCTTACTCTGTCCTCTGCCGAGAGTTACATTTCTTGACATCAAATTTCCAGCACTTTCACCCTTACCTTCTTCATCTAATTCAAGATCTCTGCCAGGATTTAATTTCACAAGTTTTTCTTTTTCAGCTAAAGTTTGCTTACTTTGTTCTCCGCCAAAGGCTGTACTTCTTAACATCAAATTGTTTGCAACTTGACTGTCATCTTCTTCATTTATTTCAGGATCACAGTCCGGCCTTCGATTTCCTTTACAAACATAATTTGCATTCTCTTCAGTTGAAATGACTTCCAAAATAATATTGCTTTTATTAACGTGCAGAGGGTTACTTTCTTTGCATCCTGTTTTTTCTGTAAGTGTTAATGCAATAAAATTCTCTATTCCTATATCAACAGTCCCCACGATCTTTGCTTCTTCACCGTTATTGAACTCTGTCACTTCTACAGTACCAGAATTTAACTTCATATCTCCATGATTTAGAAGCTGTTTCTCTAATCTTTTCAATTTTCTGTTCAACAACATTTGTGTGTGCATGTCGTCTAGCATCTTGCACTCATCATCTCTGCGTTCACTTGGTTCAACAATCTCCCTACCAACACATTCACCATCCTTCTCTTGTTTGCTCTCAGTGATTGTAACTTCTGCAGTACAAGAATCTGACTGTACATTCCCACTATTAAAACGTTCCCTTTCCAATTTTCTCAGCCTTCTTTTCAGCATCATATGTTCGTGCATATTATCCAACATTTTACACTCATCATCTTTCTTATCAGATGGCTTCACTTGTGTCTTCTTATCATCCTCTCCTTTTGCATTTTCAGTTACACTATCATATTGTCGGTTCCCTCTGGTAGTCCCTCTTTCAGATTTTCCCAGCATGCCACGCTTTTCAACCAGCACATCACCACTGTTTTCAGGGAGCTGATTTTCGCTGGATATCTGACCATCTCTGGTGTCTAACTCATTGTCAACATAAGAACAGTCTTTTTTCCAAGTTACCTTGTTCAACTGCTCAGTTAAATTTACATTGTTTCTTTTCTGCGTCTTTTGTTTCTTTTCAACATCTTTTCTTGGAGAGAAATGACGTCCTTCGCCAGATCCTTCATAATTCTCATCCGCTGCACCCCTCCAGTTCAAGCTGTCTGAACCCTTTCTTCCTCTGCCAGATTTATTCCTTCCTTTAAAACCGGGTTTTGATTTCTGCTTTTTATTTGCAGCCCTATCAAAGTACTGTTCTGATATCTCTTCAACATCCTGTTTCATCTGCTTATCTCCAGAATAACCCTTTCTCAACAATAGCCTTGCTTCGAGTGAAGGCTGACCTTTTCTTTTCTCCTCTGCATTCAGAAGCTTAACTTTCAAATTTGACTTGAGTAATGCCAGCTTTTCACACTCAGCAGCACACAACTCTTGTACATCTTTGGTATCTTCAAAATCCTTTAGCTCAAAATTTGACATCAGTTCTGAAGTACAAGAAATGATCAGGGAATCATCAAAATCACTACAAAATTGCTGATGGTCTGCTTCTAGATCTGCAACTGTGACCAGCTGGCAGCTGTTCTGGGAAGGTAAAAGAAGGGAAGAGAGACAGTCTATCAGCAAAATGTTTGCCGTCTTGGGTAACACTTCAGACGATACTGCTGAAGGCAGGTCACAAGGAGGCTGAGATAAGGAGTCACCGGCTGGTTCATTTATAGTGCTGTTCTTTGAATTGAGCTTATTACTTTCAGCATGACTGGGCTGGATCAGCTGAAAACCCTGTCCAAGGCTTGTCAACGCTTTATGTGAATCTGATGTATTTCCATCCAAGGTATCCACTTCACCTATGCTACCAGATTTTTTAAGCAAACCAGACTGATAACTAACAGAATCCAAACAATCTGCTCCAGCCACTTTAAGACAGAATGAGTCTCCACCACCAAGAAGATCTAAGTGTTGGTTCGTATTCACAACAGCCTTCTTAGAGGATATTTCACAGTTTGAATGCTGTCTACCAAGTAAAACACAGAAAGCAGCAACAGAATCGCCACCACCAGCACTCAAATCACAGGCTACAAAGTCTTGTGCCCTTGTACTAATATCAGTTGAAGAAACAACATCATCTCTACTACACTGTTCATCTGGATCATTGAAAGAACAACTGGTTTCCTCCGTGTGTTGAGAACTGTTGCTTTCATTCACAAACTTGAGAAAATCTGTTAAACCAAAAGATCTCAAATAACTCCTTCGTGTTCCCGTTTTTCTAAATTTAACAGGCAACTTCTGCTGAGACTGATTAGGAACCTTCGCATTACTTTCTGACAGTGGAGTTTCTCCAGAGGAATTAGAAGCCTTTACATTAATTTCTGCCAGTGGCATTTCTCCAGAACAAGCCTTTACATTAATGTCTGCCAGTGGAGTTTCTTCAGAACAAGCCTTTACATTAATGTCTGCCAGTGGAGTTTCTTCAGAACAAGCCTTTACATTAATGTCTGCCAGTGGAGTTTCTTCAGAACAAGCCTTTACATTAATGTCTGCCAGTGGAGTTTCTTCAGAACAAGCCTTTACATTTATGTCTGCCAGTGGAGTTTCTTCAGAAGAAGGAGAAGCCTTTACATTAATGTCTGCCAGTGGCATTTCTCCAGAAGAAGCCTTTCCATTAATGTCTGCCTGTGGAATTTCTCCAGAAGAAAGAGATGCCTTTTCATTAATGTCTGCCAGTGGAATTTCTCCAGAAGAAGCCTTTCCATTAATGTCTGCCTGTGGAATTTCTCCAGAAAAAAGAGATGCCTTTTCATTAATGTTTGCCAGTGGAATTTCTCCAGAAGAAGCCTTTCCATTAATGTCTGCCTGTGGAATTTCTCCAGCAGAAGAAGTCTTTGCATTACTTTCTGTTAGTATAATTTTTCCAGATGAAGGTACATTGTGATTCAATTTGCCAGGAACCTCTGAGACAATGACAGGATTTTCTCCACTGCTAACCTTCTCAGCATTTACTGTTGCCAAGGAAGCTACCACATCTACATTGACAACCTTGTCACAAGAATGAGCATAACATTCTACTTTTATGTTTGATTTTGAGCTAGAAGAATCATCACTGCAAGACATAAGAATTTGGTCTGAAGCCAAGTCTTGATCAACCACACTGTCATTAACTGAAGGATACACTGATCCAGCTCTGATTTTTACTGAAGTGGAGAGAGATGCAGTTTTAGCCAGGTCTCTAAGCATGTTGCCATCAGAAATGCCAACCTGAAGTGGCTCACATTTATGCAGCCCATTTACCAAAGTATCCTGACTACTGTTTAAACTGCAATCCTTACTGTACTCAGAAATATCATTTCCAATGATCCCATTCTGTATCTCCTCTCTGGTGTCAGCTGACAACGTAGGTATATCTTCGATACACAAACCGTCCCAGCACACTTCTTCATAGTCAGTTCTGGAATTATGCTGAACTTTCCAGGATTCATTATTGTGTAGAATTTTGTTAGTTTTCCTGTTCACTAGCAGCTGCATCACTTCATCACTCTTTTGTATTTCCAATGAAGCCAGATGGCTATCGGATTCAGCTGTGCTAACAGACTCTTGATGGCTTGTTTCCAAACATTCCTCTACTCTTGTCTCCAGGTCTAGACTCTTATCATCAATGCCTTCATTAGACTGTGCTAAATTCTCACACACGTTTAAAGGGTTGTAACTAATTCGTATGTCTGCTGTTTCATCATTAGAGCTGATAAAGTTCTTTCCCTCTGAGCCCTGACCATTGACTTTTTCTAAATTACCAGCTGGACAGATATCATGTCTGCAATTCCCACAAATTCCTGTAGATGTTTTGCATTTACATTCATTACAGTTTCCTCTTAAGATTTCAAAACTGTCATTATTTATGGTGTTTGAGTTTACTTCTGGCATGCAGTAGTCACCATTTTGTGCTGGGATCTCATGCATGCATTTACCACTGTTCTCAGCTACAGTCTGCTCGCATTTACTGCTGTTTTCAGCTATAGTCTCATGTCTGACTTCAGCATCAGCAGTACTTTGTAAATCATCAGACATACTGGCAGCACCATGTAATGACAATGGTCTGGGCTCAAGAATGCTGTTAGAGTTTCTGTTTTCTACCCCTGCTAGTTCCACATCAGATACAAGTTTGTCTGGTAAGTCAGCACAAAGAACTTTAGATATCTCAGTCTGCATCACATTTGTTGAAGTTGTGTCTCTTTCTTTCCTATAATTTACTGCTTCGGCAGCCATTAATTTTTCTTCTGAAGATTGTTTCTCTTGTTCGCTAAGCTGGGTCACCACTGGAGAGTCAGATGAAGAGGCTGTTGCCAGAGAATGCTTAGAAGCAACAGCTGATAGTGGGTCTATGGGGGCCGAAATGTCGGACGCTGGCTCAGTGATTATCTGTTTTGTACTTACAATATCATCAATTCGCAATGGGACTGGTTTTGTTACTAGATCGTTAGGAATAGGATCTGTAGGATGAAAAAAAAGTTACAATATTTATAGCTGGCATTAATCATGAACTTTGAAATGTCTTAGTTACATCATCATCATCATTCTCCTATTTTCATTGAGTAATAAAAAGCTGTAATTTTTTTTATATTATTTTGAGTTAAAAATCTACCCAACGTATTTTAGGATCCTCGCCAGTGCTACAGAGTTTGTGCACTGCACTGAGATTCTTCAGACTAAAGTCTAAGTGAGAAGTAGAACGGAGCACTTATGGGTTATACTACCCTTGTGCCATAATGCTGATCTGTCATCAAAACCTAAAACTAAACATTAGGCTCTAATTGTTGCTAAAAATGTATAACTACTAATGCCTCTCTACTGTCTGTAAGTTAGTAGCGCGTCCTTGCATAACCAACCGCAGCATTTTTAACTGTTGCAGTTTTTGTAGGCAAATTTACATTCTGCTGCCAAACTGCCTACAGCTGGAATGGGGTTACTGCCCAAAGTACCACTTTTTAAGGCTGTGAAGGACAGGGAGACTTGAGACCTCAGATTTTAGCACCACCTGGCTAGTGCAGCTACCAGTGACCGTGCATCATATTAGAGCGTTTACAGAAAAAAATTCCTATCACCTTACTGAGGATTCGAACCTGGGTTTCCCACATGACAGACCCGCTGTCTAAGTATAGCATTCTCTTCATGGCTCATATTTCTATGTCATAATTTAAAACTACACTACACCACTGTCCTCCACTTACACACTGTCATTTACCTTTCCATGAAGCAAGGATTTCAACTTCTGTGTTTGTCTTAAAATGGTGGTTAGGCATGTTGTGTTGTTTATACAGCTAGGGTGCAATATCTGACTTTTGGCCCTACAAATCCATTTCAACAAGCCAATCGATCTTTTTTTATGACATCCGTCATAAAAGGAGGCAGTAGGTCTATCCCTCCAACCACACCCCCCCCACACCCCCCCCCCCCCCCCCCCCCCCCGATGGGCCCCCCACACATTGCCCTACAAATCCATTTCAACAAGCCAATCAGTCCACTTTTATGACATCTGTCTGTTGGGGGCGGTAGGTCTATCTCCCCCCCTCCCCACACTTCAGATTTCCCCCCCCCCCCCCCATAAGAAGTTGTTTCAACAATGAGATATTTTAAACACAACCCTGAAGAATAATTTGCAACCAACCTGGCAATTTATGAATACAAGTGTGACATTTCTTTTCCACAGCCCAAAGTTGAGTCTCCTGGGGACCTTTCGTCACAATGGTTACAGCTGCCCCAAAACTCCCTGAAACACAAGTATTCTTATTTATAATGTGACCACTTCAATGTAACTGTTTTTTCTATGAGCGAGGATATGTCCGCACTTCAATGTAACTGTTTCTTCTATAAGTGAGGATATATCCCAACTGAACATATCCCCACTTCAATGTAACTGTTTCTTCAATGAGTGAGGATATGTCCCAACTGAACATGTCCCCACTTCAATGTAACTGTTTTTTCTATGAGTGAGGATATGTCCCAACTGAACATGTCCCCACTTCAATGTAACTGTTTCTTCTATGAGTGAGGATATATCCCAACTGAACATGTCCCCACTTCAATGTAACTGTTTCTTCTATGAGTGAGGATATGTCCCAACTGAACATGTCCCCACTTCAATGTAACTGTTTCTTCTATGAGTGAGGATATGTCCCAACTGAGCATGTCCCCACTTCAATGTAACTGTTTCTTCTATGAGCGAGGATATATCCCAACTGAACATTTCAATATAACTTTCTTCTATAAGCGAGGATATATCCCAACTGAACATGTTCCCACTTCAAAGTAACTGTTTCTTCTATAAGCGAGGATATATCCCAACTGAACATTTCAATATAACTTTCTTCTATAAGCGAGGATATATCCCAACTGAACATGTTCCCACTTCAAAGTAACTGTTTCTTCTATAAGCGAGGATATGTCCCCACTGAACATTTCAAAGTAACTGTTTCTTCTGTGAGTGAGGATATATCCCAACTGAACATGTCCCTACTTCAATGTAACTGTTTCTTCTATAAGCGAGGATATATCCCAACTGAACATGTCCCCACTTCAATGTAACTGTTTCTTCTATGAGTGAGGATATATCCCAACTGAACATGTCCCCACTTCAATATAACTGTTTCTTCTATAAGCGAGGATATATCCCCACTGAACATTTCAATGTAACTGTTTCTTCTATGAATGAGGATATGTCCCCACTGAACATGTCCCCACTTCAATATAACTGTTTCTTCTATGAGTGAGGATATATCCCCACTGAACATGTCCCGACTTCAATATAACTGTTTCTTCTATGAGTGAGGATATATCCCCACTGAACATTTCAATGTAACTGTTTCTTCTATGAGTGAGGATATATCCCAACTGAACATGTCCCCACTTCAATATAACTGTTTCTTCTATAAGCGAGGATATATCCCCACTGAACATTTCAATGTAACTGTTTCTTCTATGAGTGAGGATATGTCCCCACTGAACATGTCCCGACTTCAATATAACTGTTTCTTCTATGAGTGAGGATATATCCCCACTGAACATGTCCCGACTTCAATATAACTGTTTCTTCTATGAGTGAGGATATATCCCAACTGAACATGTCCCCACTTCAATATAACTGTTTCTTCTATGAGTGAGGATATATCCCCACTGAACATGTCCCCACTTCAAAGTAACTGTTTCTTCTATGAGCGAGGATATATCCCAACTGAGCATGTCCCCACTTCAATGTAACTGTTTCTTCTATGAGTGAGGATATGTCCCAACTGAGCATGTCCCCACTTCAATGTAACTGTTTCTTCTATGAGCGAGGATTTGTCCCAACTGAACATGTCCCTACTTCAATGTAACTGTTTCTTCTATGAGCAAGGATTTGTCCCAACTGAGCATGTCCCCACTTCAATGTAACTGTTTCTTCTATGAGTGAGGATATGTCCCAACTGAGCATGTCCCCACTTCAATGTAACTGTTTCTTCTATGAGCGAGGATTTGTCCCAACTGAACATGTCCCTACTTCAATGTAACTGTTTCTTCTATGAGCGAGGATATATCCCAACTGAACATTTCAATATAACTGTTTCTTCTATAAGCGAGGATATATCCCAACTGAACATGTTCCCACTTCAAAGTAACTGTTTCTTCTATATGCGAGGATATATCCCAACTGAACATGTTCCCACTTCAAAGTAACTGTTTCTTCTATAAGCGAGGATATATCCCAACTGAACATGTTCCCACTTCAAAGTAACTGTTTCTTCTATAAGCGAGGATATGTCCCCACTGAACATTTCAAAGTAACTGTTTCTTCTGTGAGTGAGGATATATCCCAACTGAACATGTCCCTACTTCAATGTAACTGTTTCTTCTATAAGCGAGGATATATCCCAACTGAACATGTCCCCACTTCAATGTAACTGTTTCTTCTATGAGTGAGGATATATCCCAACTGAACATGTCCCCACTTCAATATAACTGTTTCTTCTAAAGGCGAGGATATATCCCCACTAAACATTTCAATGTAACTGTTTCTTCTATGAGTGAGGATATGTCCCCACTGAACATGTCCCCACTTCAATATAACTGTTTCTTCTATGAGTGAGGATATATCCCCACTGAACATGTCCCGACTTCAATATAACTATTTCTTCTATGAGTGAGGATATATCCCCACTGAACATTTCAATGTAACTGTTTCTTCTATGAGTGAGGATATATCCCAACTGAACATGTCCCCACTTCAATATAACTGTTTCTTCTATAAGCGAGGATATATCCCCACTGAACATTTCAATGTAACTGTTTCTTCTATGAGTGAGGATATGTCCCCACTGAACATGTCCCGACTTCAATATAACTGTTTCTTCTATGAGTGAGGATATATCCCAACTGAACATGACCCCACTTCAATATAACTGTTTCTTCTATGAGTGAGGATATATCCCCACTGAACATGTCCCCACTTCAAAGTAACTGTTTCTTCTATGAGTGAGGATATATCCCAACTGAACATGTCCCCACTTCAATATAACTGTTTCTTCTATGAGTGAGGATATATCCCAACTGAACATGTCCCCACTTCAATATAACTGTTTCTTCTATGAGTGAGGATATATCCCATCTGAACATGTTCCCACTTCAATGTAACTGTTTCTTCTATGAGCGAGGATATATCCCAACTGAAAATGTCCCCACTTCAATATAACTGTTTCTTCTATAAGCGAGGATATATCCCAACTGAACATTTCAATATAACTGTTTCTTCTATAAGCGAGGATATATCCCAACTGAACATTTCAATGTAACTGTTTCTTCTATGAGCGAGGATATGTCCCCACTGAACATGTCCCCACTTTAATGTAACTGTTTCTTCTATGAGCGAGGATATGTCCCCACTTCAATATAACTGTTTCTTCTATGAGCGAGGATATATCCTAACTGAACATGTCCCCATTTCAATGTAACCGTTTCTTCTATGAGTGAGGATATATCCCAACTGAACATGTCCCCACTTTAATGTAACTTTCTTCTATGAGCGAGGATATATCCCAACTGAACATGTACCCATTTCAATGTAACTGTTTCTTCTATGAGTGAGGATATATCCCCACTGAACAAACTAGGAAGGCTAGCCTGGCCAACAAATACCTGAAGAAGTGGGATTTGTTGGCTCTGTGGTAAATCAGCGGTTCTCAACCTTTTTTTTTTTAGTCGAATGACCCTTTCACAGGGGTCGCCAAAGACCATCGCAAAACACATATTCACTGAAGTTATGAAGTAGCGATGAAAATAATGGTATGGTTGGGGGTCACCACAACATGAGGAGCAGTTTGAAAGGGTTATCCCTACTTTTGGAACTGTATTAAAGGGTCGCGGCATTATGAATGTTGAGAACCACTGCTGTAAACAGACACAATGCAGTTTATATTCCAGGATGAATCTCACTGTCTCTTACAGTAGGTGTAGTCAGATATATGCATATGTCGGTGACATAGCCTAAAGGCTATGGCAGACAGTGGTGAGCCTACCTATCTGCATTAGATATACACAAAAGTTAAAGGAGAATGACACTGCGGGGAGTTACCAGGTGATCTGGCCGATGATCAACATTCAGGGGAAAGGTGAGACAGATGTAGTTACTGGTACCATCCGAATTGCAACTCTTCGCTTACTGCTGAAGATGGGAACGGAGCACTTGTGGGAGTGTCCTGAGTGCTATGATGTCGATTCTTAATCCAACATTCAACACTGAACACAAAAGTTTATATTTAATAATAATGTGAAGTTGATGTAATTCTAATTTTATCTCACCAAATCTGCCTGCCCTGCCAATTCTGTGAAGATATGTTTCATGGTCAAAAGGTACATCCAGGTTTATCACTAAGTTCACTTTATCAGCATCTATCCCCCTGGATGTCTAGAAAGAAATCGAAAAAAACATTGTTTCAAGTTCTTTATATTAGTTCTATTAATCTCTCTCATATTTTAAGACTAAACAAATTATAAATAAATAAAAATATCGGATTACTGGGCAGTCAAGACAGTTTAACTCGAAGTCACAAACAACATGTGATGTGTGCTTAGCTCTACTGTTAATCCTAGCTAACATTGAATGTTTTCTCGTAATGCATACATCTGATCATTACATACTAAAGAAATACAGCTTCCTCACTATTTAGCTTCTTTAAAATTATTACGTTGATGGGTTTTCCTAGTAATAATGTATACACTTGGGTATCTCATGTCAAACCTGGTACACAATGAGTTAATAAAGGTATGAAATAAAGCTACTGCTCAGACAGTACTTGTTCTCACCAGATCAGTAGATATCAGTATACGACATTTGTAGGTCTTGAGCTGCTCCATGGCATGATTCCTCTCCTTCTGGTCCAAGAAGCCAGCGATACAAGTGGTAGGCCAATTTCGAGAGAGCAACTCTGACTGCAGATTCTGAGCTCTGAAAGAGAAAGGAAAATTATATTATTTTTTTTTTGGACACTGACAATAAGAGAGGAGTTCTTACAGCAGATTCTGAGAGACCAGCTATCAATATTTTTTTTTAAACGTATAATAATAAAGTGAGTCGCACATCAACCTTCCTTAGGTGGCTCCAACGGCAAGCATCACAGGTTAGAGAGTCGCTATTCTTTGCCTGAACTGCATGAAGGAACACATGGATGAAAGAATGAGTAATGATAGAGGTCTGGAGACAGAGGATATGATGCTTCAAGAGAAAAATCCCCAAAGTAGGTTCCGGTGAAGAAAAAGAACAAACCCACTGCCCCCCCCCCCCTCCCCCCCAACATTTGCATGTTGGAAAAGACTAACTAGGAGCATTCCTTTTAAGTCGGAGTGTATCTGCCTGAAAGGTCAGGAACTAATAATCTGAATACAAATAATCCAGATCTGTAAAATATATGTGTATGCAAAACAAGTTTTGAACCAAGGCTAAAGGCCCCCCCCCCCCCTCCCCCTAAGAACTTTCTGCCATAAGAGATGGATTAGATAAATTAGCATAGTAACTGAAAATATTAAGCGACAGTAGATAAAGAAGATGAATTTTAAAAATTTAAACCTCCAGGCAAAAAATCTTCTGCAGCATCTCTGGTCATGTGCTTAATTCACTTTGGGTGATTGTGATAAACTGAAGGTCACTCTAGGTCTCCTAGGTTTTCTCAAAGCTTAACAGCCATGTCTAGTGAATGCTATCACATGTTTTACAGTAACTCCAGGAGAGGACAACAGTCTTCAATGACTTGTTCTGGGGTTCGTTCAGCACAAACACATTGGCAGAGCTGTCTGGCTTATTTTTGATTCACTGTTTTACAGAAGAATCCTTAAAATTCCTAGGACAGCTAAGAGGAGTAACTCAGATGTTTTGAAAGAGGCAAGTGCTCAAAGACAATTTATGAGAACAGAGAAATGGAACATATTGTGACCACTGGAAAGATTTGTGTAAAGAGAGACAAAGGAAGACAGCGGGAGAAGATTCTTGACAGCCTTTTGTCATGGCATGGAGGGTTGTCAACACACAAACTTATACACTCAGTTGCAGACTGCATGATCGCCCACGCCAGTCGGCAAGGCACTTGATGATGATGATAAAAGTGCTGCGTATAAGCAAACGATGGTGATAATTTGTTTAATTCAGGTGTCCAATGACATTTTTTCCAGTTATTCTCCAACCAATGGTAATTTGAGCACAATAAAACTATTAAAATATCAGAAGACAAAGAGAAGTGAAGAGTCATAACAGTTTCCGTCTACTCTAGACCAGGCACCTGGTCAACATGTTTCTGTTACATGGACATGTTTCTATTACATGGACATGTTTCTATTACGATACAGAAATAGACTGCCAGCCCTATGTGACATATAATGGCAACAGGACAATGAATTAAATTAATTACAGTATATACACATACTAAACAAATTATTCCTAAATGTGTTATTAAAGTCTATGGTGTTATTTTAGCACAAGTACAGAAATTTAAGTATTTGGGCACATGGATAACATCAGATGGAAGTTGCACAACTGAGGTAAGAAACATAATAGGACAGGCAAAAACTGCATTTATTAAAATGAATATCTTGTGCAACATATCCTTGTCATTGAGAGTTAGAAAAAGAATTCTTGCTTGCTACATACATCCAGTTTTAACATATGGCTGTGAATCCTAGACAATCGGTAGGCAGGCCAAACAATTTCTTGAGGTCTCAGAGATGTGGTCTTACAGAAGAATGCTTAGAATACCTTGGACAGCCAAAAAGAGCAACCAAGAGGTTTTGAAAGAGGCGGGAGCCCGAAAGACAACTTATCACAGACATCAGAAGGAGACAGTCATCATTTTTCGGCCATGTTGTGAGAAGAAGGAAAATAGAACATGTTGTGACCACTGGAAAGATCTGTGGAAGGAGGGATAGAGGAAGACAACAAGAGAAGATTCTTGACAGTCTTGTTGCATGGCATGGAGGTGTGTCGCCACACGAACTGATACATGCTGCAGGAGATCGTGGATTATGGAGAGGCATGATCGCCCACGCCAGTCGGCAAGGCACCTGATGATGATACACATACTGCAGCTATAAGCTCGCCTGTGGATCTGAAGATCGTGGGCTCAGATCCTGAAGGAGACAGATTTTTTTCAACAATGACCTTAGCTCCCAGGTCAACCCCGCCTTAAATGGGTAACGGGCAAAATCCTGGAAAGTAAAGGCAGCCGGTGTGATTCTGACCACATCACCGGCCGAGAGCGGATTGGTCAATAAATTTAGGTCTAGCCCTACATGCCCAATACGTCTGAAGGCATGGAAAAGGGTCATCTACTTTACTTACATATTAATTTTACTCCAGTCAAAAAGATATTAAAATATTCCATCATCCACTTTTAATGGCGTCCGTGACTTAGGCATTGTGAGTCCGACTCGTAATTCCAACGTACCACGATCGAAACCCAATTCTGGCTGTGTGGATTTTTATCATGGTATGGGGCGTCGCAGGTGGACCCAGCCTATAATGGGTACCAGGATGGTTGTCCTGGGGAAGTAAAGATGGCTGGCGTAATGCAGACCACATTACCTACCTAGTGCCGATGGTCTGTAAAAATATGGGCACTCTTCCCATATGCCTGATATGCCTAAAGGTGTGAAAAGGGATCTTTACTTTACTTCATCATTCACTTTTGATTCTGGTGCTAGCTCATTTAGAATATCAGCTGGGCAGAAGTTGCTACCTGTGCTATGATTTAAAGATATGTGCAAGCAGGACATGAATGATATAGGTATTGAAGTGGATTCATGGGAACAGGATGCCATGGATCAAACTGTATGGGGGAAGGGGCACTCATCAAGGGGAGGAGAAAAGGATTTCAAAAGTTAGCTGTGTGTCCTTTGCAGGACCCTGCAGAACCCACCCCAGCATTTTTGACAACAAAGGTCCTGCATTTTCATGCACTTATTGTGCTTTTTTTTAAAAGACAGGCTGGTCTTGTTAGTCACATACTCAGCATGGCCATGGGTTGTGATTCTTTACACCTCCTTATAGACAGCAGACACCACCTTCAGGACAGATGGAAGGTGCCAACAACATTTAGAACAGTAAAATTCATACCCAGTCTGCAAATTGGAGAAAATCAGGCACTGTTGAAAACTGACAGAGGATAGGATCTTCACAACGGCATCAATTTTGGAAGCAAACACCACATTTGGCATGGGATGATTTGGTACCACAAAATGGTACTGTTTGATACCTGGAGAAAGTTGCATTAAACAAAATTTTCTTCATAACTAACTTAATACACACAGTATAATAATATTTTAACGATGATTATTCTAGAATACAGCAATACTATACGTGTGAGCAGTCTCACTTATGGCCACAATTCAGGAAAACTGAGGTGCACTCAAACACTGAGATAGACGGAGAGTTAGAGAGACAGAAGGGGGCAGGGGGAGTAGAAAGAGACAGAAACAATGCAAAAAGAGACTGGAGAGGACACTGCCCCTGAAAAGCTTAGCACAAAAAGCAACTAATTCAGGTTTTTCTAAAACTGGAAATGTTGGATTTAAAATTGCCGATATTCACCCACCGATATTTTTTTTAAAATCATCATCATTTGTACCCACCTAATAAACATCAGCGGTCATGTTTCATCATCTCACAAGAATCATAGATCAGGCCAGTGCTCTTGTCCTGACCCATCTGAATGTCCAAGCCCTTTCAGTATTTCTCTCTCTGCCCACCACCCATCTTGCCAAGTGTAACCAAGTTCTTTTGTCTATTCATTCTAATGACATGTACACACACAAAATACCCTGACTACCCATAACGCAAACCAATTTATATATATTGTTTATGAGCCAATTCTCCTCGATGCTCAAATCTTCTTCTTAGTCCCTGGCATTCTGCAGCATTTCAGTTCAAAAGGTCGATTTATTTTCTTCAACGTCTGAGTCCAGAACTTACATCCCAAAGTGTTTTTTTTTATAGTTACAACTGTCTCCATTTAAAAGTCTACTCTGTACGACCATAAATAGTTACTCTGGCTGCCCAAGGGATATTCCCACCATGTGTCTCAGTAACCACTTTGCTACTGCCCCAAGTTAGTTCTTCATTTTATTCATTCAAGCTGAAACATTCACTGCCATACAGCAGAATAAATTCCATACATCATTTCAGTACTCTTATTCAAAAATATAATCATACAACAAAATAGGTTTGATGTTACATTTCAGCACTCTCATTCTGAAACCCAGTAAACGGTTCACAGCGATAAAGAATATAGGACAGGCCAAAACTGCATTTTTACAAAATTGCGATAAGAAGATTTTATGCAATAAATCCATGTCACTGGACGTTAGAAAAAGAATTTTCGCATGCCATACAGAACCAGTTCTAACATAAGGCTGTGAATTCTGGACAATTAATAAACCAGTCGAACAATATCTTGATGCAGCAAAGATGAGGTTTAACAGTAGAACCTTGGAATTTCATGGACAGCTAAGAAGAGCAACCCAGATGTTTTGAAAGAGACAAATGCTCAAAGACAACTTATCACAAACATCAGAAAGAGACAGTCACCATTTTTTGGTCATGTTTTGAAAAGAGGGGAAAATGGAACATGTGTCCACTGGAAAAATCTGTGCAAAAAGAGACAGAGGAAAACAGCATGAAAAGATTCTTGACAGCATTTGGTCATGGCATGGCGGGGTGTCAACACACAAACTGATACACACAGTTGCAGATTGTGGACAGGCGTGGTCGCCTATGCCAGTTGTCAAGGCACTTGATGATGACTCTCATTCTGAAACTCAGTGAAAGATTCATAGCTAGGGGTCTGGTATAACATTTCAGTATTCTTACAGAGAGACCCAGTGACAGATTCCCAGCCACACAACCAAACAGATGTGACATAACATCTCAGCATTCTCATTCTGAGACTGTGACAAATTCACAACTATAAAACAACAGATTTGATATAAACAGATGTGACAAAGACCCAAGTACTTCTTCTTAGCGTGCACCGGCTATAAACTAAGGCAGAAAGTCCCGGTTCTTCCTCCACTCCAGGACTGTGGTCCAAGTTTTGCATGCAATCTTACAGATTTGGCTTATGTTTATGCAGACTGTTGGTTCCTTGCCTCTCAGGTAGATGCATGCAGACTTTGGAGGGAACCCAACCTAATTAGTCGCCTCCAACGACATGCTTTTTAGTGGGGTAGTGGGTCAATTCCTTGTTCTCCAAAACTGACCCCTGGAACTCACCCACTGAGATCTAAATGCAAAACAAAAGAGGTTGAACAGCTCTGTAAACATTAGAAAACAATTTCAAATTCATTTCTGATTTAGCAATCATATTTTAAAATTACACCTCCTAATCTTCTTCTTCATGTTTACCGCCTGTAAACTCTGGCGGAACATTCCGGTTGTTCATCCACTTCTGAACTGCAGTCTTGTTTCAGAACCTGAGTGTTGCCTGAGCACCTATTTGACAGATCTGACTCATTTGTGTGCAGACCGCTGGTTCCTCACCTCTCAGGCAGATGTATTCTGACTTTGAAGGAAGCTCCTAGTTAGTTGACTTTTACGACATGCTTCTGGGTAGGCAGTGGGTCTTTTCTTGTTTTCCCTGCAACAGGGTCCCGGAACCCACACGGGAAACACCTCATGTTTGTCTTCATACCTAACAAAGCTGGGTCAGTGGTGTTGAGCCGAACATAGGTTGGGTTTCTCATGTACGAAGTTAGGTGATGTGCCAGCTGCTCGGGATATGTGGCTGAGAGGGCCAGTATTTGTTTGTTCTGTGGCAGGGTTGCATAGATCCAGCTGGGAAACAAGACAATGGTGAAAATAATGATTAAAAACTGGTCTGCTGAGAATATGAGAACCTAAATCATTTATAATTTTTTTTTATACGACAAATAATGTAATAAAGATAACTTGAAATTATTTCACAAAGAGAGCTGATTACCAATCTGCAGAAGAATGTGCTAGCTCCCTATGCAGAATCTGAGGGCTCACGGCAGAAAAGGGAGTCGGGGGAGAAAAACAGACACTGCTTCTTAAAAAGTCACTAAGGATTTGTTGAAAGTGGATGTGTTGGGCCCCTAAAAAAGTGTTGATATTTGATATCACAGTATTAACCACAACGGACTTCAATTTTCAAAATGGCGATGAGTGGCTGTGTTATTTTTCGGTGGCTGTGATTTCTCTCATATGTTCTGTTCCCCTGTCATTGACTGCTAATATGAATGCACTGCCAACCCAGTGTTGTTAGGGGAGCAGCGTGTTTTGTAGCTGTGCTTTATGGAAGCATGATGATGACCAATACATCTGGCAGCCTTAACCACACTGTGCTCACAATGTTATGTCGGGGCGGTCTACTATCAGGGAAGACAGAATCTTGTCAGTGGGAGACCGCAAACTTTCTAGACAGCAAACAAAATAAAAGCAGTTCCTAGAAATTGAATTTTTTTTGGTGGTGAAGAAGAATTGACATATACAGTTTACTCAATGGAATGGCAGTAAACCACAATACAGTGTGCCAACCAAAAGATAAGCAAAGAAAATTATCTCTTTACAAAAATCCACTTTTTCTCTACTCATAATGTGGCCACTGCATCTTAAAGCTACACAAAAACTATTCAGCCAAACATAAGTTTATAATGTGCCAATATAAAAATGTTATATTTCTTCATTGTTCGTCTGAGTGACATAATTGTGTTTTGCCTGTTTACAGCATAATTGCACCTTTCAGCCAACACATCTATCCTCATTGGGCATGTATTCATGAGGTTAGCCTTTCCGGTTGATTCCGTGGAGCATGACTCAGCCTTATTTGTGTAGTGTCCTCTTTGTCATCTTATTTAAAGATGTTGCCCCTGGAGAACTCATCCATGGCAACCACGTGTGGTTTAGCTGACCTTCAAGAGAAGGCAGGGGCAGATCATAGGCATTCCCCGCCATCCAAGGAGGCTTCCATAAATGCAAAGCTGATACAAGATGCTCTGGTACTGGGTTCATCCCAACCTGACATCCGTTTGTTGAGTTTCCCACTCATCACAGGCTGCACGCTAGAGGATCAACAGGGAGCAGCCCCCAGGCCCATGACTTCAATGACTACATAAAAAGGCAGTCTTCTTCAGTAATTTAGACACCTTTAAGGTCGCTGCATCAGAACACTTAGCCTGACTATAGAAAAAAAAGGCATCATGCAAGGCTCCCCTGTTTGGTCCCAAAACTCCAACAAATGGTATCGGGCTCCCCTGTTTGGTCCCAAAACTCCAACAAATGGTATCCAAAATTTAAACCTTTCTGTCAATCATATCGAACATTTAAACCTTTCTGTCAATCAATCAGTAAGACAATTTATGGTAGGACGTCTGAACCTTGTTTGTTAGTCAGTAGGACAATTAGAAGGTAGGACTTTTGATCCCAACACTAGGACGAGTGGAGCCGATGTCAGTGGGTATTTGATCCCTGCCTGTCACACAGTAAGACTTTCAATGGTCAAAGATCTAAATTTTGCTATTATTCCGTAGGACATTTGGATGACTGACATTTTTTTTAAAGCTTAATCAGCAATTCAGTGAGATTTCGATCAACAGATTTTTGAACCAAGGTTTGTCATATAGTCAGATATTCAGCCAATGGGCTTCACTCATGTTCCCAATGAGTTTTTAATGTAATTTCTCACCCACACAATGGGGATGAGCCGATTAGAGCCAAAGGGTTTCTAGACATTGCATCTTTTGGGAGCTACTAATGTCAAGATGCTCTGTCAACTCTGTTTATGAACCATTACTGTAGGCATGACGAGGACGTGTGGCAGGATTTTTGCATGAGGATCCCTAAAACCAGCACAGAACCTGCTGATGCCTGAGTTGAGATGTGAAATATACCCCCAAACAAATCACAACGACAGTAACATTTTCTCATGCCTTTGACTGAAACCACTGTGCTACAAAATTTAATACTCACTTGATTGTTTCTTGAAAACCTTTCTCCAGAAGTTTGTCTGCTTCATCCAGGATAAACATCCGCACATTGTTGGTCTTTAAGGCTCCAATTTCTATCAGTTGTTTGACACGACCTGAATTGAAAACAAACAAAAATGTGAAATTGCAAAAGAGACATTTATTTATGGCAAGAAACAATGCAAAACAAAAATGACTGACAGACAGGAAGTCTGCACTGCAATGACGGCGATGGGATTGTTATTATCGCTACTCTAAGATCCCCTGCCAGCTCAGTTTAAGCTGATACAGCCATTATTCGTAGCACATGACGAGGACTAAAGCAAGAGTCTTGCATTAGAATCTGTAAAACCATCACAGAGGCTTTTGGCACCTAAGGTGAGGTATGAAGCATCCCCTTATACACATCATGTTCAAAATGGACCATATGTACGGTTATTGTTTTTTTTTCACGGCAAATGTTTCCAGCAGACGGAGGCTGTTCCATTGTCATCCATTTGTAGACTGAAAGGATATAGCTTTATCACCCAGCTACTGAGTTAAGTGCATGGCGCAACACTATGAACTGCAGATTTCATTTGGAATGGTTTTTTTTACTGTGACCACTGCGGTGTTGTGAACTGTAGATTTAGAAAATGGCGCATGGCTTGTTGGAACAGAACTGGTGGTGTCTTATGTAGTTAAAACTGATCCTGTGTGCAAGAGCTCACCTGTTCGTGACTGCTGCTTCCGTAGATAATGAGCTGCATTTCTAATGCCACTTCTGATGGCTGCCTTCTGCTTTTAACGCGTGTGTAGGCTAGTGTCAATTTTTTCACCAGGGGACAGTGATGGACATTCTGTGTGTTTTTCACTAGCACAGGAGAGAAGCAACTATGGGAGTGACCCATTTGCTAAGAAGCTGAAACTACAATTATAAGATTAAATCACGACCGTAGCTTTCCTTCACGCCTGTGACCGAAATTACTGTGCGACAGATTCTGGTCTTCTTGCCGAAACTTATTCTGGGTACACATCCATTTGACAGTTCTAGTCTGCAGAATGCTGGGACCTTGCCTCTCAGACAGATGCACTCCAGCTTCGAAGGAAACACTGATCCTATCTAAACTGGCCAGAATATCGGTTGGGAACCTGTTTCTGGGATGAAGACGGAGTGGTGGTGATAGGTCTTGATCAGTTTATACCCTGGTCCAGCATCTCCATTCTATCCTAAAGCTGTATTTTACCATTTTTTTTAACTTTTTGTTAAAACATTTTTTTTAACTTTTTGTTAAAACATTTTCTCTAAACCAGTGGTCTTTAACCTGTGGGTCACGGCCCACTGGTGGGTTGCGACTATGGGCCGCCAAACATTCATGCCTAACCATGTAACCAGGTAGGATTTGTGATTGTTCTCTTCCAGTCTGTGGGATTAGCACCTCAAGAACTTCCAATCTGTGCGAAAAGACTTTCTCAGGCAGGTAAATAATAAAACCAAAACTGAGAAATCAAATGGTTGTTTTGGTAGCGATTCCCATATCAGAAACATTTCACAACATACACTTTTTTAACCTGTAAGCAGCAACAGATGTTGCATTAGCTGAAAATTGTAATTTTGTGACAGCGGATTAACCAAACAAACTGCTATCTACATTTGTTTTTGTTTCTGTATCTGCTTAGCTGCCATGTGGGCCGCAGAACAATTTAAACAGTGTTGGTGGGCCTTGAGTGCAAACAGGTTGAGGAACGCTAATCTACAACTACCAGATTAGAAAGTATAAATAACAGTAAAAAAGTATTTGGGGCTGAGAAAGTGAAAGAAAACAAAGAAAACAACAGAAAGTATAACAGTAAAAAGTATCTGGGGCTGACAGAGTGAAAGAAAACAATAGAAAGTATAAAAGTAAAAAGTCTGAAAGAGTGAAATAAAACTAACAGAACTGAACACAACAGGTAACCTGGTGTTCCAACAGCAATTTGACAGCTCCTGGCTGCATTTTTGTCTGCCTCCAGTGGTAACCCGCCAATGAAGGAGCGACACTTTAAACCTTTCATGGATTTCCCAATTGTTTGGACGACATCTTGGATCTGTATAGCAATCTCTCTTGTGGGTGCCAACACCAGGACCTGTTGGAGAATTCAGAATAAACATTTCTATATAACTAGAACCCTAATGGGGGCTTTATCAATATCCTACCCCAGATGATGTCACAGAAAAGTCCAACATGTCAGAGGGTGGTAAGACTGGGTTTCCCGGTTTTCTGATGCTTTTAACGACCCCCCAAAATCTAGAGCTGGTCCCAACCCCAACCTACCTATGTCCCACAAGAGAGTGCAGCCTAGGTCCCACGACTGTATGCAGCCCTGAAATATTAGACTGTCCCATGACCTGTGGATTTCCCCTGTTTGGGGTAGGATATTAATAAAGCACCCCCCTAATGCATCTTTTCTTTGGCAACTTATGAATGTCATCACTTATGGAAAAAATTGGAGCTTCTGAACTGAAATACCACAGAAAAATTTGAATGCCATGAACGAAGAAGAAGAAAAACATGGACAGCCAGCAAGATCTGAGCATCAAGGAGAACTGGCTCACAAATAGTAACCTGTCATTAAAGTTCAGGCTTTTTTAGCCATGCTGAACGTCACGGTGGCTTGGAGAGAACGGTGATGAAAGGTACAATTTCCGGAAAACAAGGCAGAGGTAGATCTCCGCAAATAAGGATACAAGACGAAGGTGCACTGGCTATGAAAGCACACAGGGCTGGAGAAATGGCTGGAGAAAGATCAACTTTCAGGAATGCCTTGATGACATTCTGTAAAAATCCTGCTGATCGATGACAAGAGCACTAACAAATCTCTTTTCTGCCTTTCTAGCCCCCCAATGGAGCATAGGCCCTCAACCAACCCACACCAAGTCATTCTATCCTTTGCTATAGCATGCAGCTCTCCCCATTTTTCTAACTTTATCCTCCAGGGCTTTTTTCCGTGTGTTTTTTGGTTTTCATTTATTCCTATGCTCTGGCTTCCAAAGAAATTCTAGTTATACTGTTCTCGGGTTTTCTCAATGTGTTTCCTATCCAACACCTTTTCTTCACTTCTTGGTCCACTGGAGCTTGCTTAGTTCTCTTCCAAAGCTCTACATTAGTGATTCTAGAGAAATGGCTTCAGGAATGCCTTGATGACATTCTGCAAAGGATCTGTTGATTGATGATAAGAGCACTAACAAATCAGTTCTGCTTACAGTCCAAGCCGTGTGGCACTGATCACTATAGCTGTCCACAGCCTTCAGTTCCACATGAGGTAAAAAGAAAATGCTCCACTTTCATTTTCTGAGGTGCATCATGCCAACCGCCTTTACTTCCCACAACATTTCCTGGTACCCATTTTAGGCTAGGTTGACAAGGGAGCACATGTCAGTTTCAACCCTTTTGCCCAGAGAAGCCACAAAACTACCACTTGTGGCTGCGGTCTAATTCCCCGTAAATATAACCTTTTTTTTTTCACGTTTAAGGTGACAGTAATGCCTCACAGCTTCTCTTGTAGTGTAGTCCTGCTGGGCTGATTCCCAGCCTCTGCTGGAAGTAGACAGGACAGTCTTGCTTTATATGCTCAGGAGTCTTGTTTTCCTGCATTCTTCTTCTTCACATTGACTGGCTGTATACTCTGGTGGAAAGTTCTGGTTATTCATCCACTTCTGTATTGTAGTCTTGTTCCAGAACTTGAGATTGCAGTCTGTTGGTTCCTCACTTCTCAGGCACAGGCCCTCAGAATGCTTGTTCGGTGAGCGGTCGGAGGTGTATTCTTTTTGATTCCTTTTCTCCGGGGTCCCGGAACCTACACAGGATTGTTTGCATTCACAGGTGGCAGACTCACTGCAAAATTCAGCCAATCATGAACAAATCTACAAAAGGCTTGAACTCAACTAGTTGAGGACATATGCTCTTTTGGAAACTGTTATGCCGCTGAAGGGGGAAGGGGGAGGGGGGGGGGGGGGGAGAGGAAGGGAGATTCCTCATGTAGGTTCTAGGACTCACCTTTTCGTATGGAAAAAACCCAGACCCACTGCCACCTAAAAGTTTGTCACAAAAGAAACCTTCTTCTTCGCGTTCACCGGATGTAAACTCCGGCAAAAAGTTCTGGTTGTTCGTCCACGTCTGGACTGCAGTCCTGTTCCAGAACCTGAGTGTTGTGTGTGCATCTGTTTGACAGATCTGTATGCAGACTGTTGGTTCTTTGCCTCTCAGGCAGATACACTCTGACTTCGAAGGAAGCTCCCAATTAGTCGACTCTTACGACATGCTTTTGGGTAGACAGTGAGTCTATTCTTGTTCTTCCCATAGTAGGGCCCGGGAACCCACACATGGGAAAAGACAACTAATTAGCAGTTTGAGAAAATTGGATGTGCTGGGATAAAAGGTGTATAAATATCACAGCCTTTCTGTCAGCCACAGCACAATGTGCCAACCACCATTTAAGGTGCAAAAGCAGGAAAAAAAAAAAAGACAAACAACTCAATAAAGTTCACCTACCTGAACACAAACTGATTGCATTTCCAAACCTTCTAGGGCTACCACTGTGAAAACACATGTTTTCCCTGTGCCTGATTTGGCTTGAACAATGAGATCTGGCAGATAAAGAGACATTTAACATATAATTGAGTTAAGTAGTACTGTTTGTTAATCCAAGTGTACTTTAACTTTGTTTGTTTGTGTGTGTATCTGCATGCATGTCATTAAATAAAAAACCATAAAGAAAAAGTAAATGAAACTTACAGAGCCTCTCAACACAAGATGTAGAATAGATAAATCGGCTATCCTCCAATAACGGTCCTAAGTTATCAAGGAAGAAAATATACCGTAACAGGGCCTCAATCACATTTAAATTGCGTACCTCTTTCCGGCAACTATACTGCCACAGCCGAGTATCTACGTGGGGCTAAACTAGATGGCTGGGACTCATGAGCAAATAAAATGGAGGAAACTGCAGAAGATGCGGTAGCTGCTGTTCGTGAGTCCCAGCCATCTAGTTTAGCCCCGCTCTGCGTGTAGCGGTGCAGGAAAAACTCTCGGCAGTGACTTTAACTCGGCGGCACGGCGCAGGAGATACTCTTGGCGGTGGCTGCCGAAGTCTGCAATTTACATGTTTTGGGCAGCAAATAAGCAGCTGGGCTCTCCTTGCACCTTTGGACGCAAGCTGGACGGCTTAGGTCGGCTTAGTGGGAGTTCTCTCCCTTGGCCGCATTGACAACAAGTAGCGGAAAAAGTCACGAATCAAACAAGACAGGTCGACATCAGGGCTGCCAATGCTTGGATGTGTCCCCCAGATCTGGGTTTTTCTTTTGACGCTGCGGGGATATCTGGGTTTTTTTTTTGGTGTTTTGCCGATCTGTATGCTTTAATGACAAATAAATTTGCGTGGTTAGGGGTAGGGTTAGGGTTAGTTAGCGGTAGGATTAGGGTTTGGGTTAGGGGTAGGGTTAGGGTTAAGATTAGTGGTAGCGTTAGGGGTAGGGTTAGGGGTAAGGTTAGGTTTAGCGTTAGATGTGACAATTTTGACGCTGTAGTTCCCTATAATCGCGCACAGTCACATACACACCCAAACAGTCGACGGACGGTGGATGCTACTGACACGGATAATTCGCCACCGATTGGGCACCAGCCGCGCGCTATTGCCATCATATTTGGCACACTTCCAGTGGCGCCACTCCCACAAACATCAGATTGTTGCACAGTATTTGGAAGTTCTATGTCACCATTGTCACATCTAACCCTACCCCTAACCCCAACCCTACACGCAACTGTATGATGATGATAGAACCCTTTGCAGCCCTACACGCATCCGTATGATGATAGGTAACCCTAGACGCAACCGTATGATGACTACGCAACCCTACACGCAACTGTACGCAACCCTACACGCACCCGGATGATGATAGGTAAGTATGTCATTTGATTCGAGACTTTTCCGCTCGTTGTTGTCAATGTGGCCAAGGGAGAGAACTCCCACTAAGCCGGCCTAAGCCATCCAGCTTGCGTCCAAAGGTGCAAGGAGAGCCAGCAGCTGCTTTTGATGGACTGAGTTATCAATTAATCGTCTGACTGTACAGCATAATAGATAGGGTATTATATGATAGAATACTATAGATAGGATACTTTTTTTAAATGAACAGTTTTAGTACTAGTTTTACAAAAAGTAATAAAAATAAAAACAAAACCCTTCTTGACCGTCAATCAAGTTGACGTGGTAGTAGAATTCGACCTGACCAACAGACAATCGTGCTAGCCATTGCCCCACCGCGAATCTATCTTGAAAAGCTCAAGCAAGTATAATTACCAAGTCCACATCGACCCAAAGGTATGGCTTTTAGCTGGATCGGGGATGGTCTCTTGAAACCTGCCTCAGTGAGTCCCTGCAAAACATGATGGGAAAGTAGCAAACCAGAAAAATCAACAGATTCTGTTATAAGAACGTCATCTGTTCGCACTGTGTCCTTTATGCTGTGCGCTATAGACATGTCTGTGAATGCTGTACTGATACTCAACACTGCACCAACATTTATAAAGTTCAGATCTCGAATAAAATCTGATCAACTTTGTCCATCGCCTTCGTTGCCCGTTATGTCCGTTGTCTCTGCTTGTATCTAAGAGCTGCGTGGGATTTTCGTATTCACGGGAATATACGAGTGATGAGTGAATGCTGCTGTTGAATTGATTGTACAACGTTCCGTATAATTTATAAATCGCATTATTTTTTTTTTTTTTTTTTTTTGGAGGGGGAGGAAAAAAGGGGGGGGGGCGCACACACTTTTCCTTGCTGGCACAGAAGCTTTTGAGTTTGAATCGACAGCGAGTCCTATTTGTTAAAAACAAAAATGACCTCGACTCCCATGTCAGCCCAGGGTTTTAGGTTGAGTCCTAGCAATTGGTGTTTACCACATTACACACTGAGTGCTGATTATGTAAAGTATGTATAATGAAAGCAGATCAATACATACAGCCATGAGGAAAAGATAGACACTGTTTTTAAGCCTTGTAATGCGAGGCGGGGGGTGGGTGGGGGGGGGGGGGGGGTTTCCTTTGGATGACTGGAAAGATCAACGATAGAAGAAGAAGAAGCAGACCAAGAGAGAAGATAGTGGATGGACTGCGACGGTGACACGGAGGATACATTGGGGAAACTGATCCAGAGGACAGTGGACCGAGATCTGTGGAGATGCATTAACGTCTACAGCAGTCGACAGGACACGTGATGATGGTCGTCATCTTCATGTCTTTATTGACACAAAAGGCATTCCCAGGTGATCTCCACTGCTGCGTGTCTTCTGTTTTTCGGTCTATGGTATCCCGTGTCATTTTGCTTTTTTTTTTTTTCATTTTCCATTCTACTGTCCTTAACAGATTTCCATGGTTCGTTCATGTCTAATTTTTTTTCATCTAGAATCCATCAGATAACTGTCCTTGCCAAAATGTCATGAGGCATTTTGCAAACATCTCCAAGCCATCTCCACCTTCCTACTTTCATGACGTTTTCCAATGAAGAACATTTGATTTTCATCTTCGGTTTTTCATTTTTGATAGCGTTTTGTCCAAAATATTCGCAGTATTTTTCTAGACATTTCTTTTGAAAAGCATCTAATTTATGTGGAATGCCTGCTGTAATTTTTTAACATTCACTGTTGTATAATTGTATTCCTAAAATGTTTCCCTTATAGAATCTGAGTTTTGTCTTACAATTCCCATTTACAAAGATATATTGTTAAGTATGGGAAAAGGAGGATGGCCATAGCAATGCAAAGATTGAACAGCCTTACAAGTTTATGGTTAAGCACCAGCAAGGAAATAAAAATTAGAATTTTGAGAGCATGCATCTTCTCTGTGACTACATACGGATGTGAGTCGTGGACTAGGCTATCTCTCAGTTCTTAAGAAAGAGAATAGGGGCTTTTGAGCTGAAATGCTATCGAAAGATTCTAAGAATATCTTGGACAAAGAAGAGGAGAAATATTGACATCTTAAAAGATCTAAACATCAAGGAAGATTGGCTAATAAACAGCATCGTTTCTCGGAAGCTGAAATATTTTGGTCATATCAAGCGCCACAGCGGATTGGAAAAAAATTATAGCAGAAGCCATGGTACCAGGAAGGAGGGGCAGGTGCCGACCGACACAAAGATGGGCACAGGATATAAGTGACTCCTTGAGTATGAAAGTACATGAGGCGGGAGAACTGACGAGTTTCTTTCAGGCAGTCTAGAGCGACGTTCTGCAAAGGACCTGCTACATGATGATGATGATGGAAAATGCTTGGTTTGCTTTATTTATTCTTGATGTTACACTTTTTTCAGACCGCTCATGTTACTTGTCCGTATCCACATCCTACTAGAACATCCATCCGTGCTCTGATACAGCGTCGTCTCCGTGTCTCCATGCTAAACCGCAGCTAGTAAAAGTGGATGGACATATCTTCTTTCTGTGCCCCTTTCTGTATGCGTTACGGTAAAGTCAAGGTAAAGTCAGGAGATGTGAACCAGCGTCATTGCATACGGTTATAAACCGTAAGTGCTCTGTCACTAGTACAGACAGCTGATGAGAAACTTTATGCATTTCCCCATCTACCCCAGACTGCTAACCATTACCTAGAGGCTGGGTGAACCCCGAGACCAGCCCGGTTTCGAACACAGGCCGTGGACTGCAGCTGGATTTGAAAGCGAGTCTCCATCGACTGCGCTAACGCGGCAACCTTCTGTATGGGTGTCCTCGATTAATACCCATTTCCAACAGGCGATTCGTCGTCTTCGATTCCTTGCTCTAGCGTCTCAGTGACTCAGCTCATTCAGTATGTCTACTTCCCCGTGTACCTTTTCCTATCTACAAATCCACAGCGATGAACAGTGTGGATTTGTAGAAGGAAAAGGTACAAACAATGCCATATACTTCCTAAGGACATTGTCAGAAAGAGCTATAGAAGTACAGACTGATTTGTACATATGCTTCATAGACTATACAAAAGCATTTGACTGTGTGAAGCACGAAGAAGTAATCAAACTGTTAAAAAAATTAAACATTGATGGGAAGATGGAAGATGCATAACTGAGATAAGAAACAGGATAGGACAGGCAAAAACTGCATTTTATAAAATGAAAAACATCTTGTGCAATATATCCTTGTCATTGAGAGTTAGAAAAAGAATTCTTGCTTGCTACATAAATCCAGTTTTAACAATGGCTGTGAATCCTGGACAATCGGTAGGCAGGCTATACAATTTCTGGAGGCCTCGGAGATGTGGTTTTACAGAAGATGCTTAGAATATCTTCTTGGACCGCCAAAAGAGCAACCAAGAGGTTTTGAAGGAGGCGGGAGCCCGAAGACAACTTATCACAGACGTCAGAAGGAGACAGTCATCATTTTTATCCATGTTATGAGAAGAGAGAAAATAGAACATGTTGTGACCACTGGAAAGATATGTGGAGGGAGAGATAGAGGAAGACAACGAGAGAAGATGCTTGACAGTCTTGTTGCATGGCATGGAGGTGTGTCGGCACACGAACTGGTACATACTGCAGGAGATCGCAGATTATGGAGAGGCATGATCGCCCACGCCAGTCGGCAAGGCACATGATGATGATGATGACTTCATCGTGTGGGCTCCGGGGCTTCATTTTGGGAAAATCAAGAATAGACCTACTGCCTCCCCAACACGCATGTCGTAAGAGTCGACTAACTGGGTGGGGGAGGGGAGGGGGGGGGGGGCTTCCTTCGAAGTCGGAGTGCATCTGCCAGAAAAGCAAAGAACCAATAGTCTGCACACACACACACACCAGTTAGATCTGTAAAACGGCTGTGCACGCATCACTTAGTTTTTTGAAACCAGACAAAAGTCCAGAGGTGGATAAAGATCCGCAACGTTCCGCCGGAGTTTTCAACCCAAAGAAGAAGAAATATTTTGACCCTATTTATATTTCTTCCTTTAGACGCAGTCAGTTTGTCGGTCTTTAATTTTCTTTCACATTGACAATCCTGGTGTGTCTTCTATGACAATCCTGGTGTGTCTTCTTCTTTTGTCTTCTATCCCGAGATAGGACATAGGCCCTCAACCAACTCACGCCAAGTCGTTTAATCATTCGCTATTGCATGCAGCTCTCCCCAAGTCCTCCTCACCTTTTAAACTTTACTATCTAGCTCCCTTCCACGTGTTTTTTTTTTTTTTCGTAATGTGGCTATCTGGTCATTACAGGATCTGTTTGGTCTCTTAGCTTTTTATCCATAGCATCTTTTAGTCTTTCCAAAAAAAAAAAAAACATACTTAATTTTTTTCAGGGAACTTGACAGTAAAATAATTCATCTATAGTTTTCACACTCATGTAGATCCTTTTTTGGGGGCAGTTTCACAAGATATCATTCTCTCTAGTCTGCTGTAATGTTTTCAGTCTTGCAAGACTTTACTAAATAGTCTATTTAACAATAAATTTGCGTTTATATCAGTCTTAATAAGTTCTGCTGGGATACCATTTTGACCTGAATCCTTTCCTTCATTCAGAAGATTGATAGCTTCCTAATTCCCTCTGTAAATGGTATTTTACACTTGATATGCAGTTCTATTTCTAAAGGCTGGATTTCTGGAGGAACCTCTTGGGTTGGTCTATTCAGAAGTATTTCAAAATATTCAGCCCATCTATCCATTTGATCTTTAGTGTTAGTGAGTAGCTTTCCTTTACTATTTTTGATTGATCCAGTTGGTTGACTATCTTTATTAATTTATTTGCGTTGCTGTAAAGGTCTCTGAGGTTTTCTTTTGCTGACGCTGTCTCCGATTCTTGTACCAGGTCATCTAAATATTTTCTTGTTTCTGCCCTTATTCGCCTCCTCACTTCATTATTAGCTTCTGTGTATTTTTCCTGAGATCTCGAATCAAAAGCGAGTTAGTGTGTAAATGGGGAGATTAACGTATTATTAACCCAAAATTCATTCAAAATTCCTTTGATCTAATCCCAGCAGATTTCAATGCTTACTTCTTCAGCTAACTTCTGCAACACCTGTACTTAAAAGAGACTAAGTGAAAATTGTTCCTTAACTTATTTTTCCCTGAGATATCCTACATTATACTGGTTCCTGATTACAAGATGTATCTTTTAAGTTTCAACTTGATTTTACTTACCAATGGAGAATGGTCAGTACATTCATCAGCACCTCTAACATCATACAGGGATGATCTAATTTTTGTGTGCTTATCAGTTTGGTTGGTTGTCTTATGGTATGGTGATTCCCATGTTGCCTTGTGTATTTTTGTGTGTGGGAAAATGTTTCCATCAATAATGTATTGATTTCCTGCACACAAATGTGTGATAATTCTCCTTTTTCATGTATTACTCCTAGTCCATGTTTTCCCATAATCTCTTCATGACCTGTCTTGTGTTATCTCATTCTAACTTAGCATACAGGTCACCCATCACAATTTCTATATTGTCCTTTCTTTATTTATTTATACTGAAATGAATACCGATATTAGTGTGGCAGGT